TAGGCCACGTGAGGATCATGAAGGACCGAGTTGTCGACTCGGATCACCCTAACCTTTTTGTGCCCAGCCTAAGGGCGCCACTCCTCAGTAGGGGCTGCCCAAGGAGGAGTTCGTTGATTTTGTGGTTGTTGCTACTATTGTTGCTATTGCTGTTGTTGTTTTTGTTGAGATGGAAGGCCCCTGCCTCGACCTAATCCATCATGTCTTTATTTGGTCCTCCTCTCTTCTTCGATCAAGGGATCCCGATGACAGACCATCCCCTGATCTAAGGACCTTGGTGGTATAGGAGGAGGAGGAGGGGCATTGATGTTAACCCTCTGAGGGGGTGTAGGGACTTTGCTGGAGGACCCCCTACTCCTCTGAGTGGACCTCCTATTTAGAAATTTGAGATCGATGTGAGGCTGGCAGGACATCGCTACTTCTAGTGCATCCTCCTCATCCAAGATCTAGAGGATGTTGAAATCTGGCCATGTATTCCTCTTAAAAGTGATGGCCTCGACCTGTACTGTGGGGGCAGGCTCCCTAACTTCGGCCTCTTGTTCTTCATCTCCCTCAACGACCCCTTCTACCTCGACCTCAGTGGCCCTGTCAGGATCTCCCTCTAAGTCCTGTTCAAATCCTCCCCCCAAGTTCTGCTAGAAGAGTTCCAACCACCTGGATGGATTATAGGATTGGGGCAGTTGGGAGAATTGTTTGTATCATGGGGTGTAGCCCAAGAGTATGTGACCTGCTCGGCCAAATCTGTCTCTAATGTATCCCCAAATCGTGACGAGATCGTCAAAATTCACCAGGTGTCGAGGTGGGGGAGCAGTTTCTCAAGAGGAAATGTCTGCACAAAAGAAAGACGATTGTCAACACTTGTTCTTTAACATCAGAAAGCTAAAAGATCGAGAAGAGAGGGAAAAGCCGGGCGTACTTGTTCTTTGCCACTCCTTAGGGCAAGACAAGCCGTCGTACTCAGGGCCGACTCCCCTTTCCCAAGCGCTGCTAAAAACCAGCAGGTCATCCTTGTACCCCTTGTCGGAATCAGGAAGGTGAGTGACAAGGTACATTGAGGTGTCCCGAGCTTTGAGGTAAAAGGTTTGTTGGGGCATCACTCTCAGCAAGGAGTAACAAAAGAGGATATCCTCGAGGCCTAGGTTGACCCCGAGGCGCCTATTGAGCTCCACCACCCCCATGATTATTCTAAAAGTGTTGAGGGCACACTGCCCTAGGAAGAGGCAAAACCTAGAAAGAAACTAGAGAAGTAATGGATGGAGGGGGAATCTGATCCCGCTATCTATAATTGCCTTGGTGTAAAAAGGCATAGCGTCCTCGGTGTCGACGTCATGCCGATTGCGAGCTGGGTCGAAATCGTCGACGATGACGTTACGAGGGATGCTATAATGGGCTTTGAAGTTTGTTATTTGTTAGGAACCCTTCACTGTTCATTTCCTCGCCCTAGAAGTCCTAGCCTCTTGGGCGTCGGCAATAGGGTGACGTCTCCACATCTCTGACAAAAGAAAGTAAATGGTTCAAAGGGTTCTTTCTCTAAAGTGGGGATCCTAGGGGACACTACAAAATGTGAAGCAATGAAGAAGGGAAATTCAAGGTGACTATCCTGAGTTCTCTGGTTTCTCATAATAGAGATAATGTGGGTCTGGAAGGTGACCAATCGCCGAAAAAATGAAAAAGGAAGAAAAGAGCAATAAAAGGGCTGAAGACTCACCGAAAAGTACAGAGAAGATGAACTGAGAGATTGAGAGAGCTTGAGAAATCTTTTTCTCCTTCGATGATGGCAGAAAAAGGGGGGCTATGGTTCTTCAGGCAGCAGGACTCCGATGATTCTCCGGTGACGAAACCTCTAAAGAAAAGCTCAAAGGTTCAAAAAGAAAACAAGGGGGAGGAAGCTCTGTTTATATAGGGCCTACGTACCCATCATTGCACACGATACACAAAGACAGGCGGATTCAATGCGCACGATCTCCAAAAAGGCAGAAAATAGCTTAGGTAATGATGAGGCAGTTGAGCCCTTTCACCTTCTGACAACACGTGTCCTTTTTGTACGAAGATCAAAGGGTTGGAGGCAGTTAATGGGACACTTCTAGGCAGGGTGTTAGATCAACGCCGTGTGTCCTCGGCGCTAAGGTACATCCTTGCCTTTAGCGAGGCCACATGTCCCCTGCACCGAGACCCCCTGCTCTAACAATGGCATGTTCATCAACACCAAGGCATGTGCCCTCCGCTCCGAGGGTACTTCCAATCCGGGGGAGTCAAGTGTCCACGGCCCCGAGGGTACCCACTAAATCCCTTATCTTGCCACGAGTCCTCGGCTTCTAGAGAGGCTACTGATTGATAGTTGAGTGTCTAAACTAGACTAGGAATCATGAGGACACTCTGCAAAATGAAGCCACAACAGCAGAATGAACTGGACACTCAACCAAGGAGAGTCAAACACATGGCATAGAATGCATAATTGGGGGTAAAAAGATAATAGTACCCCTGCTGACATATGACTATTTCAGACAAACATTTAATGAATCCTCAAATGATGGGACATCCACAGTGACTTTGGGAGCCAAGGAAGGGGAGCATTAAATGATCTAGGGCCTATGCATTTAATGTCCCCACATTGAAGAAAGAGCATTAAGTGCTCGACACACCGAGCAATTAATAATGGGACTTCCCCATGCAAAATAGGAGGCACACTGCCCCATTTTCTGGACGCTACCTACTGTCTAAACCATCAATAATGATGGGTCTTTGAAGGTATAAATAGTCCTCAAAAACACATTGCAAAGGTACGCAAATTCACCCCTCAAGGGCAATACAATGTTTTCTTCTTCCTCTCTCTCAAAGAACTGACTTGATCGTCGGAAGAGATACGTCGAAAAACACTCTAGCGCCCTTCTAACTTATTTTCTGTGTGCCAGGAACAATTTGCCACCCCCCAGGATCAACCAGATAGTCCCAAGAGCAATTCATCACCACTCCTTAGGCCCCCATTGGCCTTCTCAACTCATTCCTTACTGCGGAATCCACCACATCGACGAACACGAGTTCACCAGGGGAGAGATCTATTCTCATTACATCTATTGTGCGAAAATCACGGCACACAATTAACTTGCCTTGAAGTTTGTTCAAATAATAATAAGACCCCATCAGGTATGAATAACAACATTGGTCTCCATGTTAGTGACTTCAATCCTTTTTGTGTAATTGAAACTTTAAAATGACTACAATATGCTCTATGTGATCTATGAAATGACCTTAATGCCCTCTTAATGAAATTTCTAATTAATTAGGGTGAATTTGAAAAAAAAATTTTGCTAAAAAAAAATATTTATTTTGTGACCATTTCTTCCCAAGAGCCATCCACATGGTTCTGTATAGGCCTGTTAAAATTCGTCACGACACGAATTGACACGAATTAAGCGGGTTTTGGTGAGATCTTAACGGGTTTGGATAGTAAATGGGTTGTGACGCCCTTAAAACTGGAGTCATTTGCCAATCCGTTGGTCATCCATCAATCCACAGAAACACCCATGAATACCACATAACCTAACACCACGACACAACCTCCCATTCACCGGAATTACATTAACACAAAAATTTGGACAGAGTCTCCCTTCTACCGGGAACTCCCGAACGCATAACCTATGTACATTTAATCACATGATGCTTCCGAAATCCAATATACAACAATTTATACTTCATTATTATCCACTTACATAATTAGAATGAAAGGGCTCAAAGCCCGAAAGCATGACAAAACATTCTTAAAAATTTAGATTTTTCCCGTTTAATAAACGGATCGTGTTCGGGTGAAATCTGTCAAATTGTTTATCACACGTTTATCCATTTAAATAAAATTAATAATTATTTTAAAATTTTTAAATGGATTAAACGAGTCATATCGTGTTACCCGTTTATTAAATAAATCGTGTTCGTGTTAAGATTTTTCACCCATTTTTTAAACATATCGTGTACGAGTTTACATATTTTTCACCCGTTACCCGTTTAACCAAACACGTAACTATTTAACCCGACACATTTGACCCTCCTAGTTCTACACACACCACACTGTCGCACAACCCTTCCTCTACCATCAACCCCAAATATTATAACCCACCACTATCACCAATCCCCAAACATCGCAGGCCCCTACAACTACCACCACCACCACAATCTATAATCAAGAACACAACCACCACCCAAATCAACCATCAACGTAGCACCCTCACGACACCACAGCACCCAAGTCACTGTCGCACCCAACCCTACAACCACCACCACACCATTATGATGCACACATAGAGAAAGGTGAAGGCACACACATCATATGGGTGCTTCTGGTTCACGAGGCTAGGTTTCTGGTTCGTGGGTCTGGTTCTATGAGATGGTTTCCAAAGGGGGTTCTGGTCTGGGAAGGGGTTGGTGGGTGATCCGGTGAATGTAGTGGTGGCATGTGGTTGGTTTGACTGTTTCTAATTGTGTGGTTTTTGTAGAATGATATTTGGTGAGATTTGGTAGCTTGTTTTCATTTTTAATAGATTTAGTCAAATTTAGTTTGTTTGTAATCCATACAAGGGTAATATTGATATTTTCAAAAAATAAATTGCTAACATCATTAAATTCTTGATGTTTCCCTAACCAACGTGGGGCATAGAGAATTAAAGCAGAGGAAATGACAGTGTTATTATCCATATCTGGAGAGTTCCCCTTGTTATGTTATTTGACCAAACCTTAAGGGAGATGGATGTAATGAACTCTTAATATAATTATTAATTTGATCAAAAAGTGTCCAGAGTAATTTAGTATTGTGGTATTGTTGTCAATTTTTTGGACATATAAATGTTAAAAAAAAAGACCCTTGTACTTAAAATCAGTTGCATAGAGTCTCCCTCACTAAATGTTCCTTAACTTAAAAATTAAGTGCAAAAATAAACGGCAATTACTAATTTACGAAGGCAGAGCTTTTTATCACTTATAAAGGCAGAAGATGCCCCTAATGCTCCAAAGAAAATAAAAAAAAACAAGAGAAAGAAACAAAAAGCTCTCCTTTTCTTCCTTTCTCTACATGCCAAACAGTTTGTTTATCATAACAAAGGGTCAACATTACAATCCAAAGACTTTCCAACAAAATTTATACACCAAACAAATAAAAGAGAACAATTAAAACGCAAAAACCTGCTGACAAATGAAAGCTAAAGCAAAACTCTTATGATTTAAGACTAATAGCTAATGGATTTTTTAGGCAAATATATAACTTCACCACATAATCACATATAGATCCATTCAATTAACCAGTGCCACACATCTCTCTTTAACCCTTACAGATAACCCACCTTTCATCCTTAGAGTCAAAGACAACAAATGCTCAGGGCACTTGTCTTTCTCCAATACATCAATCTCAAACCTCTCCAACACCGCAGCTGCAATAGACTTCATCTGAATATAGGCCATATCTTTCCCAAGACACATTCTTGGTCCGGCATGAAATACCGGAAACCGAAACGGACTCTCTTGGTTATAAACCCCATTTTCAAGCCACCTTTCTGGTTTATACTCGCAGCAATTTTTGCCCCATACACTTTCCATTCTTCCCATGGCATAGGTGTGATATGAAACAAACCACCCTTTTCCAACAGTGGTTCCGTCAGGCAAGACATCGTCTTCCCGACAAGCCTTTGTATCCACTGGTACTGGAGGATATAGTCGCATGGCCTCCGAAATTGCTGAATGAAGATAATGCATTTCACGTAATTGATCGAAACTATAAGTTTCCCCAACATTTTTCCTGTCAGGTGTTCGAATCGTATCGAGTTCGTATAATATTTTTCGCTCCACATCAATTCTTGATGATAGCAACCAAAAAAACCAGCTTAGAGCTGATGAAGTCGTGTCTCGACCTGCTAAAATGAAACTTATGATGATATCTCGGAGAAACTCGGCCGAGTTGGCCGAGTTGTCCATGTCACCAATAAATCGAGATAATAGATCTTCTTCTTTCTTCTCTGCTTTCTCTTCCATTCTCAATCGTATGATTTTATCAGCAAACTCGTGGACTCTTTCGATTGATTTTCGAAGCCTTTTCTCTGATCCAATGTCGAAAAGCTTCTTAATTTTATAGAGAAACGGTAGGGCATACATAAACCTTTCAGAGCTCAGCGTTGCAGCCTCTTCAAACGCTTTCATAAACTCACCGCCAGCAGTTCCGTCGCCTCCGAGACAGCCCGGATCAAGATTGAATGCCACTTTACATATATTATCAAAAGCAAATCGCTCTAAAATATCTTGCAAATCAAGAACCCGGTTCGATTTCGCAGCGTTTTCAAGCATCGGAACCAATCTGGTTTGTATTTCCACCGTTACATTCTCAATGACAAAATTTCTGAGGGATTTTGTGTTGAATTCATAGCTGGCGGTTTTTCTCTGAACCTTCCATAGTTCACCGTCGGAGTTGAAGATGCCACGGCCGAGAAAGTCTTCTAGGAGAGTTATAAATCGAATGCCTTTCGGGTAGTTCACGAAATTGGTTTTGAGCATGTGTTCGACGTTTAGTGGGTTGGCGGTGATGACGCCGTGAACTTTTCCCGGCCGGCGGAAGACGGCGCTGTTGGTGGGGCACTGAGAGAGGACTTCTGTGGTCCATTCAAGGAAGCAGTGGCGGTTTTGGAGGAACTGCGGGAGGGTTCCGACGAGTGGGTAGCTTTTGAAGCCTGTGGTTGATTTTGGTCTGAGGTAAAGAGAGAGGAAGAAGAGATAGAGGTAAAGAGAGAGGAAGAAGAGGAGGAGGGTTTGGAGAGAGAAGAGTTCCATTTTGGAGAGGGAAAGTAAAGAGATTAATGAGGAGTTTTGTGAGTGAATGCTTCCAGTTCAGGGGAGAATTGGCAAAATTCGTGTATAAAATCGGTGAATTACACTTTGAACTCTAACCATTTAAAAATTTGTCATTTTATATTCTTAAAAATTAGATTTTTGATATTATATCTTAAATGTATTAACAATATTGTAATGTACTTTTTTTTTGGTTAGTTTTCACTATTCATTTTATCAACATTAATGGAGTGATTTTGATGAAATGAACAATAAAAGCTAACAAAAATTTATACTACAATATTTTAATATATTAAAAATATAAAATCTTTAAAGATACAAAATAAAAAAATTATAAACTTTCCCGGGGGCGGAGGAGAGCGAAGAGAGATTCCATTTAGAAACAAGAGAAAAGCACGAGAAAGATAGTTTGGATTTTCCGAATTGCAAGCCGATTACAGATGTGATCATTCAGGTACTTTTCCATATGATCGAAATGTTTATACGATCAAGTTTCTTAAGAAATTGAAATGAATTAGTTATTCTTTTAATATTGAAATTTTAATATTTTAAAGAGTTAAGAGGCATTTTGAGATATTTAATTACTAGCCCAAAACCTGTCTGAATGTATAATACAACATAAAATTTGAGAACACAAAAAATTAATCTCACTATATGCAATACAAATTTTTCTTTCTTTTTAATTACATAATTTAAAATTAATTTCTATACATTATTAAAAACAATTGAAAATTTTTTCCCAAAATACATGACCTACAAAATATTAATATCTATATTATAAATCACGATAAACTTCAAAAAGCTCATCCGATGATCTCAAATATATTTATCCAACGACTACCAATATCATTTTCAAAACTATTCACGTTACACTGTCTTTTCAGGCACGAGTTACCTCTAATATATATAATATTATATATGAATAATGTTTTAAATAAAAATTATATTAAATCACAATTTAATCGAAAAAAAAATAATTTAACTTTTGATATAAATGAATAGAAAAAATATATCAAGATAATATTCAAATTTCAAGCTCCTTTATTTTATAAATGTTTTTAAGCCAATGTTTTGTATTTTTTTTTTTCTGTTTTTACTTTATTTTTCAAGATCTTTTCAAAAAATGTTCTGATTGAAGTTTGGCACCGACGTGACATTTTCGTCCTTTATGGGGAGGGAATATAGAATTGATAGAATCCTAACCTGCAGTGTTAGAAAATGGTTAACAATCTCACTCGAACAAACTTCTTGGGAGATAGGTTTGGTTGACGAAGATTACATTACCTTATCAAGAGGTTAAGAGTTTGGTTATTATAAAATGTAAATTTTCTGTCATGTAAATGAATTATAGCTTTTATCATTTCGGATATCTAAATTTGATCTTCTTATAATTATTTAAGGTTTACTGATGATGCACAAAGTTGATTATGTAAAATCAAATCAATTGAATGTATGGTGTAAAGTAATTAATGAAATAAATAATAAAAAATAAAGATTGAGTGGTTAGGTCTGACCTAACCACTAGAGACAGTAACGGTGACTAAAAAATTTTATTAATGATAGAGTACAAAGTAATAGGAGTGAGAAAAAGACCAAGAGTATGTTCAAAGTGTAGTGTGTGTCCTTTGTGTATGAAGTTTACAATTTACAGGCACAGAGTATTAGCTATGACGGTGATGATAAGGTTAAGTTACTAATCTATTGGGAGTACAGTTGCAATTGAAGATAGACACTATCTTAGAGTAATAACTATTTCGATAAATGTTCTCCCACTTGAGGTGACCTTTTCTAAACCGTTGAGTTTTAAATTAGACTGAGACCATGAGTTTAGCTTGGCCTTTCTTTTGATGAATTGGGTCAGTTGGATCTGGGCTCGTCACTTTATTATTCTTCTCTTCTATCAACACATATTTGATCGTGAATACCTTTTTAGAACTTATTTGATTTTAAGTACAACAGTCAAACTTATACTCCAGTATAAAATATCCTTAATAGTTATATTTAATCAAAACTTGTTAAAAATATTAACTCTAAAATTAGGAATTGTATTAGTATTAACAACTCCTAAGTTAAGAATTATGCTAGCATTATTTAGCATTTTTACTATTTGATATTACTATTTTTTTATTGAGTATGTTACTGTGTAACGTTATTCTATATATATAGAAAAATAATTTTAATGCTGTCACAATTCCCAAGTTAGGGTTTGTCATATTTGAAAACACTGAAACTAAAAATGATAGGTAATTTTTATGGTAAGGATAATTAGGTAATATAAACAAAAAAAAATTGAAATGTATAATGGAAATCAAAATGGACTTACTTTTAAATAAATTTTTTGAGTAAACTTAAGTCGAAATAAGTCTATAAAAAAAGACCGGCATCCAAAGTACCCGGGTTATGGGAGGAGCGGTAGGAGTATGATCTCGAATGTCCGCTAAGTAGATAGTTAATCAATCATCGAGTTAGATATCTCAATACGAAACTTATTACTAGTTAGAGCGAGTGACTCATTTATATGGATCACTTCACTCGCTTTCAGTATGCTAATTTATCCCTATCATGCATAATACACTGAGAAAGTTGCTCGCAAGTCGTTGCAAGTTTCAATAGTCACTTCTAATACAATCAAACCATGCTATTTTATAGTTCCGAGTTGGAAGCCGGAGTAAAAGTAACTATAGCCGATCTTAACCATCCTGCAATTTCTGACTTTAGGAAGGAATGAAGTAAGGAATGACTAAATTGAGTTATTGAGTTCGAGAGTTAATGAATTGCGGTTGCTTGATAGTAGTGGTGGCTACTATCGCCATGTCTCGTACACCTACTCAAAATGGTTTCTAAAAAATGTTGAAAAATTTCATAGAATTAGAGAAACTCCTCCTCTTGAATGAAATGATCAAGGAATACTTAGACACAAATCTTCAAAAACTTTGTATAGAAATCCGCTAAAAAACAATCCAATTAATTAAGATACAGAACCAATGGACCGTTGTCCAAATGAAAAATTAACTTGAGCAGCATAGAAAACGTTTATTTATGTGGTTTTTATTTTCAAGACACTATGAATTGGTGATTGGTCTTGTGTTGAATCCTCTTAATATTAACAAGACCTAAATTAATTTCAACTAGTAATTTTCTAGTATTAATTTGGTCAATTTTAGTAAAATGTCATTATTGCTGGTAAAAGTTTTTCAATCATCGCCGTAGATTTTTATTTTTGATCAATCTCGTCATTACAGAATATAAAAAATAAGAATTACTAGTGGATTATTCAACTGGAACAAAATGCACAAAATTTTGAAGTAAAACGAATGCTTATCCTTTGGGAATGATTACTAGATAAGCAATCCGGATTGGGTGTTCACGTGGAGTTGCAATTGAGCACAAAAGATTGATTGGTTTGGCAAGTTTTGTATTTTTTGTGGGCGTGATGAGGAGGATGGACAAGTTTCGAATGTGATGTGTTTGACGTAGTTTTTCGAAGTAAAAGTTGATCTTAAATAAATATTTTAAAAAAATAATGTTAGATAGACTTAAAAATTAAATTTGATAATCTCAATTATTGAATAGGTAGTGAGTCCCAAAAAATGTTAGGACCCACAGTGAAATCAATTGTTGAGATTATCAAGTCTAATTTTTAAGTTCATATATCATTGCTCATTTTAAAATAAATTTTTTGAAATTATTTCTGTGTGACGGATAACTCAAAATTTTTTCCATAAATGCAAAATCTTTTCAAATAGATAAGATTGTTTGGTGTTTAAAAATTTTGACTTATTAAAAAGTATATTTTTAATATACCCATTTTAGAGAAGTCTTTTAGGGGAGTATCTCAAAACCATCGTATTTGTACTTCTTGGGAAGTAATTTTTAATTTTACACTTTCCAAAATTAGTCTTAATTTTTTGTAATTAAATTTCTATTTTAGCCATACTTTATAGATAAATTTACTTATCTTAGATTATAAGATAGAAAACAAAAAAAAAAAAATATATTGTACTAGAATATTAATTGTAGATAGACATGACTAGTTAGTTATATATAGGCATGATTAATTGTAGATAGACATCAGTTAAAAATCACTTTCAAACAGAGTTTTAAAAATTTGACCAGACCTCAACTGGACAAAGTGACCCGGTCAATAAATTACTGGTTCTATAGTAGGATTATTGGTTTGACTGATTTTATAATAAAAAATAATTAATAAGTATTTTAAAAATATTAAAATAGCCATAAAAATTAAATAATTTCTTGGTTTTATATTTTTTTATGGTTTTTTTATCTGAGATTTGTGCACACAGTCATTGTGCAATGTATGTGAGATCAAAAGCAGACCACCGGGTGTTAACAGAGAACCCAAAAAACAAATACAACGATTAGCAACAATACCCAAAATCGAACCACCAGCAACAATATCCAAACCACAAATCATTCCAATATACAACAAATCCAAATTGCACAAGAACCACATACCCAGATGAAAAAAAGTTCAAAAACAATGGAGTTGGATAATTACATAAAGGAGGAATATTATATTTTGTGCTAGTGTCTTGCTGTTACTGTGTGACCCGTAAAAGAAAAGGAGATCGGGAGATGTGATGCATAAAGAGAAATGATTCTTGATAACTTGGGGCCATGAGACTAAGAGGATGAGAGAATGTGAAGAAACTCAGATTGTGTCGTAGCCGAAAAGTTGCTGTGGTGGCTGGTGGCGGGTGAGGGAGAGTCGATGATGAGAGAATGGACAGGGAGATCGCAACATTTTTCAGACAATGGCAAAAATGCCCAATTTCTTTGATTTTTATGTACTTAAGTGACCCACCCGATTTTCATTTACCCGTTTGGTTTTATGATTTTTTTTAAAAAATCGTCGATTTAATAGATTTTGACCAATTTTTTAACTTAAATGATCTAATTACATAACCGGTCCAGTTTAGTAGTCGGTTCACCAGGTTACCAGGTTAACCCGGGTGGGCCGAGCTAATTTTTAAAACTACGCTTCTAAAACACATTTTTACCAAACAGTTAGCTATGTGTATGTTTGACGAACAACTCAAATCCAAACTAAGCTTGAGCCCAATCCACGGGTTAAACCCAAATCATCAAAAGATAGGCCAGACTGAACTCATGACTTCAGTCTAATCTAAAGTTCAAGAATTCAATAAAAGTCAACGCATATGAGAGAACAATCAACGGGATAACTATTACTCCAAGATAGTGTCTATCTCTAATTGTAGTTATTCTCCTCGGTAAATTAGTAACTATTCTCTTCGATAGATTAGTAACTTGACCTTCACGCCACCCCTAGGGCTGTATGTCTATAAATTGTAAACCCTTTACACATGGAGGCAGAACATACATATACATCACTTTGAGCGCACTCTTGCTCTCTATCTACTACTATATTGTACTCTCTTATTAATAGAATTTTCTGGCCACCGTCGCCGTCTTCAGTGGTTAGGTCACCCATACCTAACCACATAATCTTTATCTCTTATTATTAATTGCTTCATTGTGTGCCTTACATCACACACTCGACTGATTTAACCGTGCATAATCAATTTTATACATCATCAGTTTGGTGTTGTTTGTGGGAATCGATTTGATTCTCACCCTATAGTCTTCCTACCTCCTCGCTCGTCTGCGCACCCTTGCCTCCTCGCCCGCTTGCGTGCCCTTACCTTGGTGCTAGCTGTCACCCCTCCTAACACATCAAGTGACCTCGCATCTAGTGCTCGACGTTCATGCATTGCTGACTCTATCCTGCTAGTGCCTTCTAGCCTCACTGTCTTCTCCGTCTCTTGGGAGAGAGCCTCCCGAGTCATTAAAAACTCGACTTTACTCTGCCTCTGCTCTCACGCAAACAGCCTCAGTCTTTAACTTAGTGGATCTCTCACGAGTCGTCAGAAGCTTGACCTCTTTCTGCCTCTGCTTTCATTCAAACAGCCTTAGTCCCTAGCTTAGTTGCTCTCTCACTAGTCGCCAGGAGCTTGACTTTTTCTGCCTTTGTTCTTACGCAAGTAGTCTCAGTCTTCAGCTTAACAGCTCTCTCACAAGTGCCAGAGCAGTCTCAATCCCTAGCTTAGCGGCTCTCCCATGAGTTGCCAAAAGTTCAGCCTCACTCTGCCTTTGCTCTCATGTAAACAGTCTTAGTCTTTAGCTTAGCGGCTCTCTCGTGAGTCGTCAAAAACTTGGCCTCACTCTGCCTCTACTCTCATTCAAGCAACCTCAGTCCCTAGTTTAGTGGTTTTCTCGTGAGTCGTCAAAAGCTCAACTTAACTCTGTTTCTGCCCTCATGCGAATAGTCTAAGTTCCCAACTTAGTGGTTTTCTTTTGAGTTGCCAGAAGTTTGGCCTAATTTTGCCTCTACTTCCTCTCAAGTAGTCTCATTCCCTAGCTCAGCGGCTCTCTCACGAGTCGCCATAAGCTCGGCCTCACTCTGCCTCTAATCTCACGCAAGCAACCTTAGTCCCTAACTTAGAGACTCTCTCATGAGTCGCCAGAACCTCGGCCTCACTTTGCCTCTGCTATCATGTAGGTAACCTCGGTCTTTCAGAAGCTCGACCCATTCTGTTTCTACTCTCATGCAAGTAGTCTCGATCTCCTGAAAGCTTGGTCTCAAGAGGTGTTGCTCTCTTATGAGCTAACCTCAACTGCTTCTTAGCAGCCTCGCGCGCCTATCTCTCTTCTGCTAAAGCTCTCAACAGCTCAACAAGTTTGAATCGTCCTTCAAAAAAAAGGCACGAAAAAGCCACAGTCATCTGCAAATATACAAAAACAAGAATGTTAGTATTACCAAAACATACATATGACAAGGTTGAACCAAAAAGATGAGTAACATATCAAAGCCCTCCATCGCGGTATCGATGATACCCTCTTGTCCTCGAGAGCCAACCTCAAAAGCTGCTCCATGGCCAAATTCACGTCCTACAACATAGACACTGGGGCACTACTAGAAGCAAGATAATTATGCGGAGCTCCAATCTCAATGAAGTTTGCAAAGGAGTCTCAATCTCTAAAGTAGCCCAAGGACTCAAAGGGGTCACATGCTAAGATGAAGTGGAGACAATATCAAGCCCCACCTTCCGAGAAATAGTAAGGTCATCAGGCCTCAACTGAAAAGTATTGGGGGCATCAGATCTCACCTTCTTAGGAGGAGGGGAAGTCACCATCCTAGTGACATAAAGAGCCTCCACCATTGATCTATCAACCACGGGATCATTTGTGGAGTTTGAATGAAAGAGAGAATATTAGAAACCGAATACATCATCAGTTTGAATAGGTCCTCCATGGTGTCACCCATGGCGCTGCCTAGCCTCTCGCCTCGACTGACCACACCCAGCTCTCCGACGTTGCCCCTGGTGCCACCCAACCTTGCTCCGGCGTCACCCTCTTTAGCGCCGCGCAGGCTCGAGCCTCCCCTGGCGTCGCCCAGGTTTATCTTGGCACATTCGCCAAAGCTTCTCCATCTCCTCGGGCAAAAGCATTCGTGCCTTTCTTTATCCTTTCTCTACTACTTGTGGAAGGAAGAAAAAGTCCAGGAAGAGTCAATAACTTGACCTTTACGCCACCGCCTTAGCTAGGGCTCTGTACCTATAAAATATAAACGCTCTACACTTGGGAGTAGAACACACACACCTCACACTAAGCGCACTATTGCTCTCTTTCTCTCTTTCTCTCTCGTACTACCTTGTACTCTCTTATTAATAGAGTTCTTCGGCCACCCAATCTTTGCCTCTTATTATTAACTGCTTTATTATTTGCCTTACGTCACACATTCGACTAATTTGTCCATGCATAATCAATTTTGTGCATCATCATCAAGCACTTCTCAAAGAGATACTTAAGTATTTGGTAAAAGTGTGTTTTAGATGTGCTTTTGAACTAATGTCAATCTACAACTAGTCATGTCTATCTACAATTAGGTTCTAGTATGATATATCTGTTTTTTTTTACTTTTTATCTTATAATCATGAAATTAGGTTAAGACAGATATTTAACTGCAAAAATTAATGCTAATTTTGGAAAGTAAGGTGAAATTAAATATCACTTAGAGGGAAGTGCAAATAGGATGATTTTGAGAAGCTCCCCTAAGAGACTTTTGTAGAATGGACATCTTGAAGATGCACTTTTTGATAAGCTCAAATTTTTTTAGACACTAAATAATCTTATCACTTTAAGAAGTACTTGCATCTGTAGGATGAACTTTTGAGTTGTCCGTCAAACACACCCAAATTGTCCCAATTATATTAACTAGTTTTGTAAAATATCATTAAGCAATCCATCTTCTTTAAGCAGCTGACATGTGTTTTTTTTTTTCCGTATTTTTTAAGTAACTATAATTAATTGTGAATAAATAGAATTGAGTCTGGGTATCGAACTGTTTAGACATTTCATTCATTCACGGAGAGGTCTCGACTAGGATTAGTGAAAAACTATAAAATCACTGAGTTCTGATTTTTTTATCCGAATTCAAGTTCGAGTCAGTTTGTAAAATTAAGTGAACGAAAATTAAGGTTGTGTTCTAGTTTATATTCGAGCTCCTGCTCTTGTTGAAGATTAACATGTCTGGTCTATACATGTACAAAATTTGTAGGTGGGAGTTTAACTGAAGTAGGCACACATAGATCAATACCCATGTCAATGAAATGATAAATAGGAAACGATGGTCTGTGGTGAGAAGACTTGAGCCGCCAATATCAGGAGAAACAATTTTTGGATTAGGTGAATTTTTTCAAAAATAACCAAGGTTTTTTCCTGGAAAAGACATGAAAATTAGAATTTTCCAATGAAATCTGAATTCTTCTCTTACCCCAGTTCTTACAATTTTGATTTTTCAATCATGTCGGTACCCAAACTCATCTTTTCTATATTGCGCATATATTATGCCTGTTGGCTGTTTTATATATATATATATATATATATTTCCTGTAAAAAGAAGCATATTTGTAGATAGTGACATGAGCATATAAAAAGGAACATAATTGTAGCTCAGGAAGTAATGCATTCCATGAGGTTAAGGAGGAAGACACGGAAATACCATATGGCCATCAAACTGGATATGACAAAAGCTTATGACAGAGTGGAATATGAATTTTTGAGGGACCTGCAGTAGTAAATGGGATTTGCCCATAAGTAGGTGGAATTAGTTAAGCACTGTGTGTCAACTATGAGATTTAATATTTTTATAAATGGAGAAAAACCAGTTCAAGTCAATCCTTAGGGGATTAAGGCAAAGAGATCCTATGTCTCCTTTCCTTTTTATACTACTCACTGAATGCCTAATAGCCTTGATAAATAAAGTGTCTACTTAAAGATCCTTAAAAGGCATTTAGATGGGTACGACATGCCCAAAAATCTCCAATCTCTTATTTTCTGATGACTCAATTTTTGGTGGAGCAAATCATCAGGAGAAAGAGGAGTCCATTAGAAGAGAAGGGACAATTTAACCAAAAGCAAGGCACAGGGAAGCTTGGGTTTTAGAGACCTTGAGAATTTTAATGTAGCTTTGCTTGCAAAACAGGTGTGGCGATTAGTCCATAACCTTGAAGCTTTATGGGTACAAGTTCTCAAAGCCAAATACTACGAAATAATTCCATACGGGAAGTGAAACCTAAAGCTGCAAGCTCATTGATTTGGAGAGGCCTAATGGAGGGTAGGGATCTGCTAGCAAAAGGATGCCAATGGTAGGTAGGATATGGAAGCCAGATCAACTGTTGGGAAGATAAATGGGTTCCAGGACACCAAATACTTGACAATACCTTTCATAAAAGTGTTAGTGTTTGGCGTATTTTCGGATGGAGGGTGTGCGTCCGAATGGATTTAAATTCAAACACTTACTACATTACCTATTCGAATCGATATGACATTCTAAAATCGTGACTGTTCAAACAATTGTAGTGAAACGTAAGACTACTTCTAGTCTCTTTTCTCTACATTGGAGATCAAGGACTTATATAATTTCCACTAATGCAAGATAATGAACTGAAATTCGAAAAAGTTACTGGGATATAAAATAATAAAATAAACAACAAAGAGAGCTGTGTAAACTACTAGACTTAGCATTAATTGAAAGGAAAGATTACCAGAGTGACGATTGTAGATTAAAGGAAAATTAAAAAATATAAGCTATGTAAGGAAGATGCCGACTCTATGTAGTGTTGTGTGATCAAGTTCCTTTACTTTATAGCCCCTCCTTCTGTATTAATAGGGTATGTCCTCTAACTGTTTGAAGCCATCTTTTCTAGCCATGACTGTAATCATGGCTTCTTACTCCAGCATGCATAGACGTGCGCTGAACCGTCTATAACTGGTGGTTCATGATGTCACGTCTGACACGTCTCTTCTTTTTTTGAGATCCATAGAGTCATATTCCCTTAACCATTTTGCCTAATCTGGACTCTTTATAATTTCATCTTGGTTTGGATCTCACCACGTGTCATCCTCAGTTTTTTTAATCTTTGTGTGTAAACATTGCCCCCCCTCCCCCCAAACAACGAGTCGATACGCCTTGCCTTCGGAGTGTTGTTTTGGTTTTTTTGAATTTGAAGTGTTGTTGTCTTGGTCTCTTTGCTTAGCTCTCACCTTGTGACTGGTCGCAGTACTCAACGTATGCGACTAAGAGTTCATTTGTAGACTCTTGGACTTCTTCTTGTCCATTCAAATCTGTAGGAAACGATTAGCATGCAAACCGTCTATATTCCTTTATCATTGCAAAGATTCGTTCTTTGTGCCTATAGATTCCATCCTCAGACTCAATTTCTATCATTATTCTGGTTTTTCAACCCTTCTTCTCAACCATGGCGATTCCTTG